TCGGGCCCCCGGGCCCGTGGCCCCGAAGGCGCCCATGCCATGGAGAAGCTGGCGGCCGGGCTGGCCGGCCTGCGCTGGAGCATGGGCGCCTTCCCGCTGGACCTCATCGTCAGCCGCTGCCGCCTGCCCACGCTCGCCTGCCTCGGACCAGGTATGGGGTGCTGGGAGGAGGACTGGGGATCCCGGGGGAAATCACAGCTCTCCAGGTAGGGGTGAGCAGGACTGGGATGAGGATGCACGGCCCCTGCCCTCCCGGCTCGCTCGCGCGGCCCCGCGCGGCTCCTGGCACGCATCTCCGGGAGACCCCGGGCCCACGACCCAGGATCTGCCTCCTGGGCTCCGCGATGGGCACCCGGACAGAAACCCGGGATAGGGCCCGGGACGGAGTTTTTCAGCCTACCTGGAACCGGGAGCGCTGCCGAGCCTGGCCCGCCCCGTCGGTGCACCCCGCACCCCTGCGGCCGCTCAGCCCTGCCTTGGCCGCTGCTCCTGCCGCCCTTTGTCTCCGACCTCTCACCTCGATCCTCCCCGCAACCCTGGGCCTCATATTCTGTCTTCCCCGCGCCGCCGCCCCCTTCCCCACTTTGCCCCTTTGAGGACTTTTTTCCGCGCCCTCCTAGAGTCCAGGGAGCAGCCTCCTGTTCTCGGGGGACGGGCGGGCCACCTTAGGAGAGCCCCTGCGGCCCAGCATGCTCCCAAAGACCCCCCTCTGCCGTTCCCCACGCTTGACCCACTTCTCCCCCGGTCCCGGGGCCCCAGCTGCTCTGCTGATCGGACAGTGCACGGGGCCCAGAGAGGGGACGCCTGGGGGCTGCGTGGAGCGAGGGGACCGTTTGGGGGAAGGGGGCTGCCTGCCTGGGGGAGGGGCAGGAGCTGGGGCTGGCAGCCAGGCCGGGGGTTTTGTGTGTGAGAAGAATAGGGGTTTGGCCCGCGTTGGCACACTAGCTTCCCTGAATGCTAATGGGGCCGCGGCCGCAGACTCCACTCCTCTCCGCGGGGTCCGGCAGCCCCTCCGATCCGCAGGCGCAAGGAACCGGTGCACTGACCTATGTGTGTCCGGGTGCAGGTTCTGCGGGAGCACACATGCAGGACATGGGGCAGGGGTGCCCGGCAGCCCAACGCCTTGTTCTCTGGATCCGGATCAGCGCTGGGGGTGCAGCTGTGGTCCTGAGACTGCGTGGGCCCAGGGCTGTGTAGGTCTGCAGGTGGAAGAATCCCCCGGGGCAACTCCCCCCCAGGGGTCTCTTTTGAGCTCTTCAGGCTGGGTAGGGCCTCCTTCAGGCCCTTGACACCTGGTGACACCTGTCTGGTTTCTAATGAGGTACACCTCATTAGAGCGGTCATTGCGTTGTCTTAGGGGACTGCAGGCTTGCGGCCGGGGCCCTTCCTAGGAAAGATTATGGATGGAATGAATGCCTGAGTGAGCCTGTGAGTGACCAGCCAGGGTCTGTGACAGTGTGTGGCTATGGCCGTGCTCACCATTAGGGTGTGAACGTGGGATCAAAACGGTGTGGCCCTGAAGGTCCCTGTGTGCCTATGCATTCGCGGCTCTTGGGGCCGTGAGACTGAATCGTGTCGCTCGTGTCACCAAGCACCTGTCATTCCTGTTGCGGTTCCACTGTTGGCGCTTACGACCTGTGGCTGTCCGTGTGTGCCTGCGTGGCCGTGGCCTGTATCTGTGGAAGACTGGGCTGGGACTTGGGAGGGTTCAGACACCACCACCACACAGTGAGAGCCCGGCCCGCCCTGCAGACCGGGAACACCGCTCCTCCCAACACACACCCCACATGCACACACTTCACAGAGCCCCCACTCAGAGTAAACTGTTTTCCACTTGCTTGGGTAGCAGAATTTAGTACGTTGTGATGGAGGACTCGGAAGGAGGTGCCCCCCCCACCCCTACCCGGCCCACCAGCTGCAGCCAGGAGACGGCCCCATCGGCCTCCTGGAAGCCGGGCCAGCCCTCCTGCTCCCCTGGAAACCGTTGCTGGGTTTGGAGCCTCCAAGGGCCCAAGCTCCTCCCGACTCCCAACACCTCTGCCCCAGGACAGGCCTTCTCCAGCTTTCCACATCCAGCATCTCCCTCGCTCCCCTCCCCCAGTCATTGCCACTGGGAGGATGAAGGTCCGGGAGGGGGAGCCCAGAAGCACCTTCTCTGAGATGAACTTGGGGTATCTGGGGGCTTATTCCTGCCTCTTTGGGGTCCCCTGAGAGCAGGAGACTGCTTGCATGCATGGGTGGACGTGAGAGGGCCAGGAATCGGTTCCCCTATAGCACTGCCATTCTGACAGCTGGGACCCAGGAGAGGGGATGACCCATCTCAGCCTTCTCTGCCCCAGCAAGGCCTTCCTTGCCTGCCTAGGCACTGCCTGGAGAGCTCAGAGTCCTGCCGCTGTGAATTCGCCTGGTCCTGAGGCCCAACTTCAGTGTCTTTTGCTCAGAAAATGTGTCCTCCCTCCCACCCCACCAGAGCTCATGCTCCTTTCTGCAAGTCCCCAGGCCCCTCCAAACTTGCTAGGGCTCTCGGTTCCATCTCCTCCTCCTCCCCGGGGCCTCAGGGCTCCTGGAGGCAGGGAGGGGGGGAGGGCGCAGACTAGGGTCATCCCCTGGGTGCCCCCAGCCCCAATGCTGGCTGTATGAGGACAGCAGGCACTAGATCAAGTGATGAATGAGGGACAGAGCCGGGCTAGTTGCTGGGGCCCCACTGGGAGTCAGAGTCCTGAGAGACGCAGCCTGACTCAGCCCCGAGGTCACAGCTGGCAGCCCGCCCGTCCCCTGAGCATTGCCAGCCTGGACAGGGATCATGGGGAGCTGTCCTGAGGGGCGTCTTGGTGAGGAGGTGAGGAGGAGGTCACCTGCTTGTTCTTCCTGCCCCTCCTAAGGACATTCTCTTTTCCTCCTTCCTCCCTCGTTCCCTCCAGGCGAATACGCTGAGGGCGTCAGTGAGCGAGACATCCTGCTCATCCATTCCTGCCGCCAGTGGACGACGGTGACAGCCCACACCCTGGAGGAGGGCCACTATGTCATCGGGCCCAAGATCGACATCCCCCTGCAATACCCAGGTGGGTCCAGCCACAACGGATGGCATAAAGCCTATGGGGTATGGGTAGGAGGGAACCTTGTCTTGGAGCTGCAGGGATGATGAGGACATGGCTGGCAGGGTGGTGCTTAGTGGGGCTAGACTTGGGGCTTGATGGTTTTATGTTCTGTGGAACCCTGGGTTTTTGGAGAGGTGGCTCACAGGTGTACAGACCTTTGACTTACATTTATTTGAAAATAGATTTGAAAGTAGTGATAAAAAAAGTACCTACGCTCGGAGTCAGTGGGGCATAGTGGTTAAGGTGCTGGACTCCCATATAGCCAACCACAGTTCAAGTCCTGGACCCAGCGGCTAGAAACTCATGCCGGGCTCGTGTATATGCATGCCCATAAATCCTGAGAGGCGAATAGAGGAGAAGGGATTGAGGTGTGGCCAGTTCCCCTGAGGGGTGATGTTTTGCTTTCTGTCTCTCTGTCTCACTGGCGAGCACATGCACCCTATAGAGAAAATCACTCAAAAAAAAAAAAATCTATACCCTCAAACAGCTACAGATCAGATCTTAACCCTAGTTAGAAACCTTCTGTGCTCACCCTGAGCTCTCTCATTGATCAGTCTTGTGCAGATCCCCAGAGAGAATGTCTCCTACCTGGATCTGCTCAGTATTGTGAACCAAAAAGCTTCAGGACCAGGGCTACCCAGGGCGGTTAAGCTGTTTTCACCGAGTTTACAAGTCAGTGTTAAAATGTTGGATTTTAAAAGTTTATACTGACTAGCTACTTTTATCTCTTTTATATATAATGTTGCTATATAATACAATTTTCTTTAAAGAAAGGATTCTGGGGACTGGCAGATTGTATAGTGGTTACATTGCTGGACTCCCACATGGTCAACCGTGGTTTGAGTTTTGGACCTGGTGGCTTGAAACTCACACTGGGCCCATGTGTGTGCATGCCCAAGAAATCCTGGAGGAGAGTGGAAGAGAAGGGATTGTGGCATGGCCATCCCCACTGGGGGGTGATTTTTCAATTTCCTTCTCACTGTCTCTCTCTCTCTGGTGAGTACATGCACCCTAAAGGCAAAAACCTCTAAAATTTAAAAAAAAAAAGGGGGGGTGGATTCTGTGGTCAAAGGGATTCTGTGGTCATAAAAGAGTTCAGCTCCTTTCATTAAAAAAAAGAGATTAATTTAATTTATTATTATTATTTTCAAAAATTTGACCAGAGAGAAAAAAGGAAAAGTGAGAAAGCAAGCCACTAGGTCAGGGACTTGAACTGTGATTGACCATGTGGCAATCCAGCGCCTTAACCACCACACCACCTGCTGGCTCTCTCCTTTCATGTTTTTAAATTGCTAGATGGCGTGTTGGTGTGCCAGGAAGAGAGATCGCATCTCTGATAGGGCGTGCTCACACCAGTCCCTTTTCCTCTATCTCTCCATCCTGTTAGAATTTGGGACACACACACACACACACACACACACACACGGTATATTTTTCAAGCTGCTGGGGCTGGGATTTGAACCTCAATCGGTCATGTAGGATTCAGCTTTTTATGCACAGCTGTTAACTGCTGTTCTAACTTTTTTTGGTAGAGGGCACGTATGCTTGTAGAAGGATGAGGAAGTGAGAAACCACGTCCTTTCGGGCCTGGTGCTGCCGCAACCCTTTCCCCTCCATTTCTCCCTCCTTTCAGGACTTTGGGCATGCACGCACACAGGCCTGGTGTGTTTCCCAAGCTTCCATGTGGGTTCCAGCTGCCTTAACCACCGAGACACCAGCTGGCCTGAGCCTCTTTTCATTTTATACATGACGAAACCGAGGGCTCCAGGGGGACTTACCTTACCCAGGAAGGGAAGAGGAAGGGCCAGAACCCAGGTATGCTGACTCCTGGACTGGCGCTTGCTGCGGGGATGTTTCTGTGAGAGAGATGGGAGAGTCTGGTGGTCCCATCCCAGAATACCCCACGCAAGCCCAGGATCCCGCTGTGAATGAAGCACATGGGGCATTCCAGATACCGGGCACCTTTGTCACTGCATCCTCATGGCACCTCTGTGAGACAGTCTAATCCATTCCGTTTAGCTCACAGGAAACTGGGGCTCCATCCAGGAGCTTCAGTAACTAGCCCAGTTCTTGCTTTTTTGGGGAGAGGTTAGTTTTTTTTTTTTTTCTTTTTTGCTATATTGTGTG